TTCTTGATGGCCGCTCACTGCGGCTGCTGGCCGCTCACGCTGGCTGCTGGCTACACACGGTAGCCCATGGCAACCCACTGCCACAGGGGCTGCAGCATACGCCTTCACCGGCAACTCACAGCAGCCCAGCTCCAGGTTGAGCCGTTGTTCAGCATCTGAGCTGTGGAGGACAGTGTCACTGGCCTTCATATGTGGGATCCGAACCCGGGCCCTCTGGCGTCCCATGCCAGTTCTTAACCATCGCGCCACTGGGCTGGCCCTTGCCTTGCCTTCTTGTAATTCTGTTCAATTTTTTAACTGGTAGGAAATGTAATGAACCCTATGCCTGGCATTTTTAAAATCTTCTGAGAGCTGATGCTACCATTTTGGGGGAAGGGAAAAAAGTACACTAGAAAAACTCAGTATAAGTCAGCACCCTGACGAGAGGCAAATGATAGCGACTCTCCCATAACGTGCTGACCTTACAGACGTCATCATTGTCGCTCTGGATCCCAGGCCCACAAGGTATGTCCACACACAAGCCCACTGCCTGACCCACTGGCAATGCTGCTGGTGGCATTGTAGAGCTAACTCCCGCTAAGACAGATGTTGTTTCCAAAAAGCTCAGAGGGACTGGGTCTGAGCACAAGAAGAGGGTGGTACCTGGAAGCACCACAAAGGAGATTCATGTCCAGCTTATCCCTCCAGCGAGACTGAATGTTGTGTGCAGAAAGCCTTGTGTCAGAGCAGCCCCTCCTCAGGATCAGGAAAGCGCTGATGGGGCTGAAATCCTGGGCCTGGTGCGCTGGGTAAAGCTCTGCTATTTGAGAGTACAAAGGACATTCATGACTTCTTCCTTCCCGACATCCCTGTGGAAGTTAGCGCATTAGTACAAGGTGACCTCTGGTCCTTTTCATTAGCATCTAAGGCTCATTGTTTTTGAATCATTGGTCTGATGTGCTAACACCCCCAGTGAAAACTCATAGCTCCTAATGTTTTTCATTCGTAAGTTAGCCACTGAATGGAAAGCAGATCAGCCTATTAAAGAATGACCCTAGCCCAAACAAAATACATTGGGTTGTTGGAAAAGTCACGATGCATTTTTGCAATGAAAAACATAAGAAAAATACATCATGACTTTTCCGAAAACCTAATAAATAGGGAGGAAAAACACCCAGTGTAGTTTAGAACTCAGCTCTGCTGACTGTTCGGAGTAGAAATCATTGGAATTCAGCATCATCTTGCTCTTATTTTATGAAGCCAGGAGAGATGATGGCTCCTGGGGGTTCAGGCTGCTATAATGACCCAGAAAGAGAGGGCACAGGGCCTCAAAGTAATGGCAGTGGTGTTTGGTGTTCTTGTTTTGTTGTTGCCCTGCTCACCTCAGGAATTCACCAGGAAACCTCTGAGGAAACTTCCCACATGCAGTCAGACACCTGGTCCTAAGAAGGCTGCTAAGCATCTGATCCCACCTCTGATGACGCACATCTCCCTGGCTTTCTAGAAGGGAGGGCTTTCCCACAGTGGAAGCAGGGCGTACTGTGAACTTAACCCAGAACACAGCCTGTCACATAGTTGCATTCCTACTGGGTCACTCGCCTGCCTGGCAGCCTCCTCCCTGGAGGTTGATAAATCCTGAAACAATGCACTATGACTAAAAAGTGAGGAGACTTATCTCCCAGAGCCAGGCCTGGAACTCTGACTTGTTACTTTTCAGTCACACCAGGCGTATGACGCACTTGGAACGCCTCAGAGGAGAGGTCAAAAAGGTATCACTTTTTACTTAAAGGACTGAAACCTGTTAATCATGGTTAAGAGCAGGGAGGAGGGAAAGGGGTAGGAAAGGAAGGAGAGGAGGGTGGAATGGAAGAAGGGTGGGCACTTGGCCACTAGTCACAAATTAGGGAGAGGTCCAGCTCCCAATGTATACAGTTTAAACCAAAAACATTTCCTCCTTTGCTAGGACAGTTTACTTTCCTTGGGATAAGATTTTCATTCAGGCTGAGGTGAGGAGGGGTAACAACTTGGCTAAGAAAGAGTTTTCCTTTGAACCATGGGGAAGTCTTAGGGAGAGAATTCCTTGGCAATGCCACGTCTTGCCCTGGCGATCTTCATGTGTCAACGACACACTGAGTTAGTTCACCTTTGCATCTTTTTGTTGCCAAAATGACAACATGGCTTTCTCTCATGCCTTTTTATTTTAAAGCTGCTTTATTCATTATAAACCATCCCATCACAGTATCTATTGTTTCCCCAAGTGAAGAAAAACACTGGACAAAATGGGGGGACTGAAATGTAATCATTAACTTCCACCCCTCCCCCAACCCTGTCAGCAGCCACGGCACCAAACACAGTGCGTCTCCCACGCCCTACTCAGCACAACGGACATCACCTCATCAAAGAATTTGCTGGGGGTAATTCAGGTAATAGCAGCTTCCACCTGAAGTATCTGGCCAAGTGCCCACAGCCGCTGGCTGCCCATGGCTTCTCAGAAAATAAATGCCTCCCTGGGGTAACTTTTTGTTCTCGTCTGCGTAAATGAAACTCATCAGCCCTGGAAACTGTTTGCCCACATTGGGTAGGTCATTCCTCTTTTGAAGGGATCTGAATAAGAAGTCAGAGAGAAAAAGGGTTCCTTTTCTCCCAACGCCTGCCCAAGTGTCTCTCTCCTGGGCCACCTAGCTCCCTCAGCCTCTTTCTTACCTTTGTACGGCTGCATGTTGACATCAGGTAATTACAGGCAGATCTCTAGAAAGGCAGGCAGCAAGTTAGTCGGGCGGAGGCAAGTTGCAAAGCTCACTTCATTTACTCATCCTTCCATCTGAGTGGACTTTCCAAATGCTGACTGGTGGGTGATTCACACTCATCCTTAGGCGATGAGCAAATAACATCATCCCTGCTTTGTCAATGAAGAAATGGGCACAAAGTGGAAGCCGGCAGGCAGTCCATGGCCACACAGCAAGTCTGTCAGCCACAGACAGGGCCAAGCAGTACATACTCGTGGGGTGAGGCTCACGTTCCTCTGGTTCCACTCTGGGCAGCTCCACCTCCTCTGAACAGCATGTATGATTGGGGTCTCTCAAAACTGGACAAGGGGAGAAAACATTAAACAATGCACTTTTTAAACTGCAGGACTAATTGAGTGCTCATGGCTTCGCTTTCCAAAGCCTCTAGCTGTGGCCAGGCTTTGGGTGCAATATATAAGTGGAGGCTTCATGAGGGCCGGGAGAGTTAATGTCTTCTTCGTTGCTGTATCCCCAGTGCCTAGCTCTGTGTCTGGCTCATAGCAGAGGCTCAATAAATTCCAGATGAAGGGTGAAGAAACCTACCTGCATTCTGTTAGCCTTCGGTGCCGACACTTGGGCCTTGCCTGGCTGGGGCCTTTGTCATCCCTGCACTCCTTACCCGACTCAGTGATAAAGGCCATTTAAATAGGCTTTTGGTCGAGTTTCTCTGAAGAAATCCCAGAAGATAGCATCTAGAATGACCTCTAAGTTGCAGATGAGGAAACACAAATATTTAGAGGTAAAATGATTTGTTCAAGCTCCCTCAGCTGGAACAAAAACCTCAATTATCCTGATGTAATAGCTACTATGGCCTGAGCTCCCCACACCCCCCCCAATTCATGTTTAAGCCCAGTGTGATATTATTTGGAGAGGGGGCCTTGGGCAGGGCCCTCATGTTCTCTCTCTCTCCCTCTGTCCCTCTCTCTCTTTCTCTGACACAGTGAGGAGATGGCCATCTGCAAACCAAGAAGAGGGCCCCACCAGAGTCTGTCCATGCTGGTACTCTGATCTTGGACTTCCAGCCTCCAGAACAGTGAGAAAACAAATTTCTGTTGTTTAAGCCACCCAGTCTAGGGCATTTTGTCATGACAGCCCAAGCTAAGACAATATCCTGTACTGGCTTTTCTAATACAACTCTGTCTCAGGGTTAGGTGACAGCCACGCTGGGCACCCTATCCATAGAACACTTACAGGATCGAGAAACTACAGATTAAGCTATGTTCTCACTGCTGTGCCCTCAGCTCTGGAGAATGGAGTTGATACATGGGTTCTTGTTAGGTATTTATTTGAAGGGCAGACATTGTTAGGACTTTAAGCCAGGCTTGGCAAAGTGAGCCTTCCTAAGGAGCAGCTGTCTCAATTATAGGGCATTTTGTTTCAGAAACAATCTCAGTGGATCATATGAAAGGGAATTATAACATCATTCCTCCTTCACGTGCTAGGAAGTATGTGTTTCTCTATACGTTTTCCCCCTAGGCAACTTAAGTTACTTGTGGGAAAATTCTTATTTCCTGGACAGAAAAAAATCTAAGGCAGGCAGATGGATGTTTCATAACCTATAAGGAAAAATACATACTGGAGAATCTTACATGGGACAGAATTCTAGCATTTGTCATATTTCCCCACGTATAAGACACAGCCTTTTTCGAAAAATTTGGGGTCTAAAAACTGGGTGCATCTTATACAGTGGTTGTAGATTTTTTTTAACTTGCATTTTCCACTTTGTTTGTGCTTGTTTTTTTTTTTGGGGGGGCGCTCATACGACCACTGTATAAGACGCACCTAGTTTTTAGACCCCAAATTTTTCGAAAAAGGGTGTGTTTTATACATGGGGAAATACAGTACTTCTTTTCAAAATCTTGTACATTTCTTAAACACAGATATGTAGTTTCATTTGTTCTTGGAGGGTATTTTACGAAAGGTCTGGGGAATATATGCTGTGATAAGGAGCAGTGCTTTGAACCCTTCAGATCAATATCGGTCCTTATGTCTTAGAAATTATGTGATTCAATCAAACTTTGAAGGCTCTAGTCACCCACAATTCAGCACAGCACTTTCTTCCGAACTGTGGAGAGAGGCACCTGCTCAAATGCCCCACGCTAAGAGGGGGTCAGGGCTTTGCACAGCCCTCAGAGTGAAGGTCCTTCTGCCAAGTGTTGCTATTTGGAAGTTTCCACGTGTACAGCCTGGGCCTGAGAAGAAACCACTTGGCAGACACAGAAAACATTCTCCTGCACCCAGTGCCGCTGGTTCCATCTTACACAAGACAACCCAGTCCCGCCACATTCTTCCACAGCTAGAAGTTCACTTAGGTCCCTGGGCTTGCTGAGATCAGAGCGGGGAACTCTATGAAAGGTGACCAAGAATGATTTTCTGGTATGTGGTATGTCCAACAGGGAAGAAATAGAGAGCTGACAGACCGCCCTATAATGGCTGCTTTCTCCGGTGTCTTCAGATCTGGAGGGCCATGCCCAGGGCTGACGGGAACATTGCTCTATGGGGACGTTCAGAAACAACCATCCAACTGGAAGTGGGGGCTTGCGAAAACACTTGTCTTTGAAGCTGCATTTTCATAGCACTTTAAGCTTGAGAAAACATGAATTGTCTATTTAAAGAACTGGGGAAGGTGACTAATGGGGGTGAAAAGGGTCTAACTCCCACAAGCCACCCCCTTGGCTGGCGCTGATGCATGAAAGGGGCACTTTAATTATCAGACAAAGTAGCAGACTTCTGTAAGAATTCTGAGAAATGCACAGTCTTACACACAAACCTATGTCATGTATTTAAGTCATCAAGACTGAGAAATATTTTCCAATGGGAAAATATACATGGTGTCCCCTATACCTTCCAGAATATATAACGTCTAGAAAACTCAAATCACATTTTCATGTCTTCCTGGTGCCAAGCCAGGGAGGGAATGGGCGGCAAAAAATGTTTATACCAACAGTCATTACTAAAGTTTCCCACAAAGCTGAATCTAATTAATTAGGCCTAGCCAAACTTGCCAGCCACACCCGGACCCAGCCGAATAACCCTGAGAGAATTTAGAAACACCCATTCTACAAACACTCATTTATTACTACCTGTGTTCCCTGAATACCCTCTACAGCAGATATGGCCTGACAGAACTTCCTCAAAGCAGAGTACTTTATAAACTAAAACTCAAAGACCTCTGCTTTAGTTTTCATTAAAGGATACCTCTCTATTCTCTTAATAATCATAGCAATGGCACTTGACACTATTCAAACTGCTTTTCAAATGTTAATTTCTATTCCCCTTTGACCCATAACCAAGAACCAAGGGTAATTCAATGTATTTTTCTTCAAGCCCCCAATCAAAGGTCCCATTTGTTTTCCTTGAAGTTGGTGTGAGTCTTGTCTTCCCTTTAAAGCCTGTAAAAGATTTCCAGAATGGGTTAGAAACTCCTCTGAGCTCCCCCCGGACCCTCGCCCCACTTCCTTTGAGGACTCTGGAAAATTATTCCAGAGCAAACTCATACCCATGGGGACCAAGAGTACCTGTGGACCCAAAGTTTCATTCAACACACCTGTATTGTGTGCCGATTCCATGCCAGGTACCGCTTCAGGTATTGGGTGAACAACACAGGCCGTCATGCTTCCTGCTTCCCCAAGGTTTCCCTTCTAGTGGGGGTGGTAGGGTTGGGGGTGGGGGTGGGGACAAGAAACAAAGAAGCAAAGTAATGTCCAATAGCGACAAGTGATATAGTAAGACAACACAAAGGATAATGGGTTAGAGAGTGACTGGGGACGTGTGTGCTGTGTGGTTTAGAAAACTTTGTCCAGGGAACGACATTTGAAGTTGAGACCTGAAGGATAATATTATGCTAGTTGTGTCATGTTCTGTTAGATCTACTTCTCTATTTTTAAAGCAATTCTACAAAGGCAGAAACTCAAATAGAGCAATGAGATTGATGAGGAGAACATTGTCTTCTCAGACCGTATTTTTTTTTTTTTGGAGTGGGGGGAGGTATGCAAAGAATGTGGGTAAATTGGTTCAGCTTCTAAGGAGGTCAACATTGTGGTATCTATCAAAATTAAAAATGCACTATCCTTAGACCCAACAACCCCACTTCTAGGAATTTATAGAAATAATGGCACATATGCACGGATATATAAGGATGTTTGTCACAGCGTAGCTTGTCATAGCTAAAGACTGCCAACACAAAAGTTCATCACTAGAGGACTGGCTAAATAAATTATGTAACATCCATATGAGAGAACACTTTGTAGCCATTAAAAAGAATGAGGTTGAGCTCCAAGATAAACTAAGTAGGGGAAAGTAAGGTGCAAGAACTACGTGTTCAAAATGCTATCATCTTTGAAAAAATAGACACATATTATCTTTGGAAGGTTATGTAAGAAACTGATAACAGTTTTGGTCTCAGTAAGGGTTGGGGGGAGAATTAGGGAAACTATACTCGTATATTCTTTTGTGACGTTTTCACTTTTTACCTTTTGCATGTCTTAGCTATTGAATAAATATATTTGGAAAAATAAAGCATTGCAGTATAAATAACTACATATGTAATGTTCATACAAAGTTCTTTTCATGTGTACTTGTACATCACAGTTCCAGCTGGAATGAATTTTAAACGTTAAAAGTGGAAAAGCTCCTAGAATCAGATCTGTGGTCACCTTCTTAGCTGGCTTACTGTTTGGGCATTTCTCAGTCAGGGCTTGGGTTTGGTCTCCGTAAAATGAGTTTAGGAACCATTTCAGAAAAGGCATTTTTCTCTCAGGATGACATCCTTTTTGGAAGACAATATACTCATTTCTAATCTATTTAAAGATCTGAACAACTAACCTGATCACTGTTCAGATCGATAATTGAAAAAAGGTGACTTTTCTTGAAAAATACTTTCCAGTGCCTATATGCTATTATAATTTTCCTCCTTCTAAGTCAGAACAAGCCTTGGTTTCTAAGAATAAACTTATTCCAGCAAGAGTGTTTTTCTAAGTTCTCACAGCTATTTCATGTTCTGGTCCAATTATGATTATGGACTGATAAAAGTCTTCAGCTACCAGTAAAATTTTAAGAAATACAATGGAAATCAAATGTTTTTCAGATGTCTGTATTCCGAGCCCAATCTCTGTGGTTTCCTACAATTCTGTGCCAGGAAAGGACAGCAAACAATACGTACAACCCCTGCTCCTCCCGGGAATAAAATCTGCCCAATGTTAAATAAATCATTTATGCATATA